ACCGCATCAACCTTACTTCTTCAGTATGGAAAATGATGCACACTTTAGAAAAGTGAAGCAGATGGTTAGGAGATAACAGGGCTATGTTTTAAAATTGAGGATGGTATCGTCATCGCACAGGTGGTGAGAGCATCTTCAGAGAAGGCTGGGGTCAAATTCTAGGATGCATTTGGAGCATCGACGAAGTCTTCCTAGTTTCACCTGATGTCCATCACTTTTCAAAGCTGCCACGCTTCTCTTTCTTTTCCTATCTGTAAATTTCATCATGAAACATTTTCTAAGATGAGTCAAATTGGTACTTTATCAGAGACCTCAGAATCAAATTCTGTGCAAATCATCCCGGTGGTGCGGTGCTATTATCTGCAGGTCAGTGTCACCAGGAAGCCAAAAGGACCACGGGAGAAGACAGAAAAGTGCCTGTAGAAGTAACCCAGGGCTGACATAACCAAGTGCCATAGACTGGATGGCTCAGACGACTGAAGTTTACTTTCTCACAATTCTGGAGGCTAGAAGTTCAGAATCAAGGTGTACACGGGGTTGGTTTATCCTGAGGCCTCTGTCCTTGGCTCGGAGACGACCATCTTCACCCTGTGTCTCAGCGTGGTCTTCCCTCAGTATGCCTCCTTGTCTCGATCTCCCCCTCTTGCAAGGGCACTAGTCATACTGGGTCAGGATCCACTGCAATGATCCCATCTTAACTTAATTACTTCTTTAAAACCCTGAATCCAGATAGTCACATTCTGAGGGACTGAGGGTTATGGCTTCAGCATATTGAATTTGGGCAGGGACACACTTAGCCCATAACAGGGTCCGTCATAGTAATGAAGTAGGAACCTCAGAAGAAAGACACCAGCAACAATTTTTTTCAACAGTTTTTTTATCCTTCTGTGGGTGAAGCACATATAACTTCTCCTTTCCAGATGAATTATTTGGAAGTCTGCTGTGGCAGCTTTGTGGAATTGCCATACACTTTGGTTGCAAATAGTTTATAGTTATAGTGCATCATTGCATAGCCTACAGCAAATAATATTTGTATGATTCAACTCAGAAATCTCTTTATTCTTTACATAAGAGTTTTGTATTTTTCAGTGCGTAGGATTTATTTTGTGTTATTTTCACCTCATGTTAAAAAAACACACACACACAATTTCTGGTCTCAAATATGGAAGTCTATATTTTTATCAGAATCTAAGTTCTAATAGAGAATTGAGGGATTTTAACTTTCCTCATAAGAACAGTGTCAAATTTAGTTTTGAAACTGTATCAAAGAATCCTGACATTGGAAACCTGAGAGAGATCATGGTGAAACCGCCTCCCTCCCCCACTTCAGGGAAAGCCCACATTTGTTTACTGCAGGGCTTCTCAGTTAAGGGTGAATTTGCCCTTCAGAGAACATTTTGAGACATTTTTGTTTTTCACATATGGAGGAAAGAAGGGGCTCCTGGCATCTCCCCAGATGCCAGGTGTGGGGCTAATTATCCTGTGATGCACAGGACAGCCTCGCACGGTAAAGAACTGTCCAGCCACAGATGTCAACAGTGCAGAAGTCGAGAAACTCTGTTCTTCTGTAACCATTTCTCTCTTCCCATAGGCAAACTTTGCCTTTGGATTGGGTTTATCTCTGCCTGTGGATGTCTTACCCAAGCTTATCTATCTAGCTGGATTTGGAACGCATGCTCTCAGCCTGACCTCTGGCTTCCCTGACTCATGACCCTCCCCTGGTCTAGACTTTGCCCTTGCCTCATTCACTCTGTACCCACAGATGTCTATGTGTTGACTTCTGTTACCCACCAACTGCCTGGTTGTCCCAGCCTGAACCCACTCCTGGTATCATTCATCTACTGTTACCCAGGAAATCTAGTGTAATAGTCTCAGAAAATGTGATTAAATGTTATTTAGGTTTTATACACCTAATGATTAAGTGTGGTGGTAAAGGCTATATACAGAGCCAGGAAGAATGAATTCACCAATTATTCTCTCTACGTATTTCAAGCAAAGTTTATTACTTCTTTGTCTAAAAGTTTTCACTTTTATCACGGACCATTGGTTTAGTAACCATTGGTTGATAAAATTACCTTGTGATCTTACAAATATATTTGATATTAGAAGGCTTCAATCCCCTGCTGGTATCCAAGCTCAACTGACTCATTCACAATGGAAACAATTATGACTAAAAAAATTATCCATATTCTCTTTATGTTTTGACCCTGAAAGCAGTTAGATTTGTCATATTTTTTCCCAGGTAGGAAATTTA